GGGTCTGTAAGCAATTTGTTGGAAGATTTAGTTTCGGATAAAACCATGTTGAAACTCTTAAATCTAAGATGAAATCTTCCTGAAAATTGGGATTATTGACGATTAATAATGCAGTAAAAAGGTGACACTTAAGCAACTTTCGTTGGTGCTGCGTACTTCAATTGCAACTTTCATTGCTTTTTTTTTGTGTTTTGCGTTTTGAAAACTCGATCATGTATCAATGTGAAAAAAGTTGATTCAGTTGTTTTCTTACTCGTTTAGTGACACTAACTGTTCACACGGTTTTCATGATAATGATCAGATCCTAAATGTTGATTTGGTCCTGATAAACGTTTCTATTCAAGTTGAGTTTCCGATTAAAATGGACATTTATCATTATTCAATGAAAAGGTTTGAACAATGTTGATCATAATTTGGTTCATTACAGTTTTTGTTATACAGAAATGAGGAAAAAGTGATTTTCCCTTTTATACTCAGTAATCAGTGTGATGAAAAATAATTATCTTGAGGATAAAAGTTGACGGTAAAAGAAAGATGTTGTTCTTCCCAACCAATGAATTGAATTAATAACGAAATTATTTTTTCGGTGGATAACATTCATTTCTGGTTAATTAGTTTTAGTCTGTTGAAAAGGTAACAAGAAAAAGAGAGAGAGAGAAAAAAAAAGAAACTGAAAACCAGCGACAAAACCTATTCACAGAATTTTGATTTAACCAACTAAACCGAGTTTATCATTGATTTATTTTACCTTCATTGTCAGTGTTTGCTCTTAGTTAGAGTTTTTACTCATGAAAAATGCTGACGTTTACATATTTGATATTTGATTTCTTTTTCAGATTCAATTGAATTAGAAAGTGTTGAAAGGTTGACAAAGAAGGAAAGAAAGAAAGAAATTCTTGAACAAAATGAGAATCAAAAAGGAGAAATATTTCAACTTTGAAATGAACAACATTTCGACATTGATTTAAATGTTTACCCAATAGAAAAGGTGAAATAAAGTTTCCACTAAAAGTCAACATTTTGTCAGCAAATCAGATAAATCTTTAACTGTGCAAAGATTAATGATAAATCCTTTAGGTTTCCCTCATTTCGTTACCTTCATTTCAAACCTTTTCTTCGCAGTTGAAGTAAAATTTCATCTTCTGCTCATCATTTTCATTCTTGCTGTTCCATTGTCTAGAATCGTTTTTTTCCATGAACTTTTCTCACTTTAAATTTCCATCTTTATAAGCTTTACTTTGATAAGAAACAATCATTTTACCTGGAAACTTGTTAGACGCTTGTAATGACAGAATGATGAAGATAAACTTTTGAAAAATGTAAATAAAGTTAAATATTAATTATGTAAACCTGAAGAGAATATTAATGAATATCATTTAAGGTAAGGTTTGAAAGTGAAGTAAATATCATGGAAAAAAACAATGAAATGTAACATGGAAAATTTATCATGAAAATAAGTAAAAGGTTGTCTTAATTGGATGAAACATGCGACATCATTTATTTGATGCAATGATGAGTATTGCATGATGTATTCAAAGTAGTGGGTAAAGGTGAAAATGAGTTTTGGTTTGGAGAAACTTGCGACTTGAGAATCAAATTGATTATCGAAACTTTTGTTTGTCACAATAATAATGCAAAAGTAATTTAATGATTTACATCATTAGTTTAATTGGAATCGGCCAAATGTTTACCAAAAATCGTTAATGATTACAAGTTGAATTTAGGCGATTTAAGTAGAAATACGAATCGTAAAGCGTCATATATCTCTTGTGATGCTGTGAGTGAATCGACAGGAATCATGTTTACACTCTATTTAATAGATCGAGACAATTGTAATCGAATCGACATTGGGTTTGCCATTTGACGAAGAAACCTTCTGAATTGTGATTTATAAGTCAACTTTGAACTTTTTGAACCAATGATATGTGTTGAAAATTTGCGTTGAAAGAGTCAGCGTTGAAATGCTTGACAAGATTCCTTGTCGTTTTTCATCGATACAGTCAATGATTCAATAAACTGTTAGTATAACATCTTTCATCATTGTGACCGGAGTGGAAGGATCAGCGAGACTGGAGCTAATTATTAAAGAGCCAACTGAAGTTGGACCCTTTAGTTGGACTGATTCCATCAAGGGTAGACCTAGTGAAGTGGGGAGTTTAAAGTTTAAATACAGAGTGATTTAAACTCAGGTCTATGATTTATATACAGATTGGTGAGGGAACACAGAGAATGCCATTGGACCTTTAGATGGTCAGAAAAAAGTCATCTTATCATGTTTCCCCTTTGAGGTCAAGGCAAGTTCAATTTGAAAAAGGAGTGAGAAAGATGTGTGATTGAGTGTGATAAACAAAGATAAACTAGTTTCGAAATTTCGTCACATTTATAATGGAAAATTTTCAGCTAATTAATCAAACAAGTTCATCTCCTTTCAAGATTTTGCCATTCTGTTCCATGACATAACTTACGCTATGATTAAAGTTCAGTTCATTATCGGTTAAAACTACCTTATCCCGAAATAGGCAAAGCTGTTATTTTTTGGCCATCGGATTCATTTTGAATCTTACAGCTTTAAACAACTTCTATGACAAGAACGACCTTTTTGGCTTGGTCAAACATAATCTTTTTCATTTCATAGACTCATTTATTTGACCAAAAGGTATAGAGTGTTATGTCTTTGTAAATCACTATCAGCATTTAATTGATGATCAAAACATTTTCATTTCATTCCATTGTCTAATTGAAATTGCATTTCGTCTAATTAATAATAAACCAAAGACTACTTTCAAATGGCCTTTTTATTCTCGATTTTAATCTACAACGAAAACAATTTTGCATACTCATTCAAATATCATTCACCAGCAACTCAATTTGCATGCCAACAATTGTCGACCTTTCAAGATCATTTTTTGTCTTCTACACTTTTCTCCCATTCAACTGTGAAAATTTAATTATCCTTTTATTCAGCTTTTTTTTTCTTTGCATAACATTATATTAACTTTACATTCTTTGACATGAATTGAGTTTCCATCCAATCTCACTATCAAGTACATATTTTCATTAAGAATTTCATTTTTCTCACATTTCCACTCATCCAGTGCTTCTTCAAATGCAAATCCTTTTCCCTCATTTTGCATATCAAACAACAATGGCAAAACAACAACAACATAATAATGTGATAATGCCGTGTTCAAGAAACGCAATCAATAGAAGAGACTTAAGAGCATGAAAAATATGATGAACAAAGAAGAAGCTAACAGATAAAAGCTCCGAATAACAATAAAGAAAAATGTTAATATCAAATGGTTGAGTTCAATTGAATACTCAATTGGAAAATGATACTTTTACATTCAACAATAAACAGAAAGTTCAACAATAAAAGCGACAATAAAATGTTGAAATCGTTTGAATCGTTAAGCTTCGAAAGACTTGGAATAATGTTCAATTGAATTTTTTCTGTTATGAAAACAAGACAATTAATTGATTCGTTTTAAACTTCATTTACTTGTGTAATGGTGAAAAGTCTGATGACAAGAATTTCCAGAGTAAACAAGAAATTCTAGATTCTAAATTTTCTTTTTTTCTTCTTTCAGCATTTACTTTCACTCATAACATTATCATGGTATTATCATGATATTTATTTTTAATAAGCATAAAATTCAAAGCACATAGAGGAAGGGAAAAAATTGAGTTGGAAAAACACTTTTTTGTTCTCTTTGTTTTACTTCTTTAAACATGATGGTATTACAGACTCACTGGGAGGTGAAAAACTCCCAGCAATTGGAATCCATTACAAAACTCTGTGAGATAAGTTGAAATTTAGAAGGAAAAACAGGAGTAAATGTTAATGTTTATGTGTTTTCATTTCAATTCTCATTACAATAATCATCCATTTCTCATGCAAACCAGCATTTCACCATTTAGAGTTGAACAAGTTGCGCCTTTTACGTTTCCATTTCAACTCTATTTTTCACGAAATTGTTTTTGTTCAATCTTTCGAATTTTCAATGTTCTCTTCCCTTTCTTGTTCATTTTCAATAAAAGATGAGCTGAAAAGAAAAATAGACTTTTGTTTTCGCCTAGAATTTTAAAAGCGCTTATCTGTTTGTGAGTTTCCATGTCATGAACTGAAGAAAGTTTGCAAATTTCAAAGTCGACTTTCTGTCAAAACCAGTTTTTTGGTGGAAATTTTTTCTCTTCTTTTTTGTGTCAATTTTATCTCAATGGCTTTGTTGCAAAGTTGTTCAATTTTGACTCAAGTTTACCCTGGATAATCATGATGATGATGGAAAATCGTTTGAAAAGTTGAAAAAAATTTCTTTTCCTTTTCAAATTTCATTTTCTCATCTTTTCTTCAAAATCACTTGAATTTCGTTCAATTTATTGTTGAAACTTTCTTGCTGTTGCTCTGTCAAATTATCAGTTTCATCTTCAATTTTATTTTCTCTCTCTCTTCTCTGTTTACAGTTTTCAAGGTTTTTTTCTCATAATTATATGCTCAACGTCATGGTTAATTATCACATGATGACAGAAGATTTGAAACAATTTTCTGATCGAAATGATGAAAGGTAAATGGAAAGAGTTGAAAGGTGAACAAAACATTTAAACTGAGAAGGCAAAGAGAGAAGACAAAATGTTGATGAAAAGGAAGGAAAATGACAGAATAATATGAGAATAGAAAAGGAACAAATCTTGAGACGAATAAAGTTTCAACAATTTCATCATGAAAATGAATTAACTCGACGCATGTTCAATATACCGTCATCATCATTATCATCATTGTCGTCATTCTCATCATGATTGAAAGTCGACAGAGAAGCGAAAGAGTTTACTCTTTTTTTCTTTTTATCGACCTGCTTCTTATACAACATGATAGTCATAATGAGAAAGAGAGGAATGAGCCTTGTAAAGAGTAAGAGCTCACCAAATGGAAAGAGAAGAAAGATTGAGAAAGTTTCAGTGAGCAAGTCACTCTCATCTCTCTCTCTCTCCTTATCCATCTGACTGGTTAAACTCATAACAGAAACATGAATCACATGAAGAGAATCTTTAACCAAGAAAAAAAGGTTTTTCCATTGACTTTTACTGTTTACCTCATTTTACTCTCTTTTTACTCTTCATCACCAGTACCATCATCATAATCATCATCATCATCATCAGATTGAGTCTCATCTTGTTACGGGTTTCATTAGTGAAGTAAAAGGAAACATTTGAAAAATGATTTCAACTGCAATCCACTGATTTAACCTTAAAACTGTGATTTTCATTTCTTTGTTCAGTCTATCCATGTCAGTCCATGTGTCGACCATACAATGACCCGATCAAGTGAGATTAACTGCCTTAACAGTGTTGCAATGATGTGAGATTTTAATTTAAAATCAAATCATTTGCTCGTCATAACCCAAAAGCAAAGGTTGATTCCAATGGGAAGGCCTTTGCCTTGTCTGCATCAACTCGGGTCTGTAACTAGCCAAGTCTACAGTCATTTTTCATGGACAAAATTTCGTCTCATTAAACTTGTTAAACAGTAAAAGGTTTTACTAATTGTTAGCCAATGTCTCTTATTGCCATCATTTTTTTACCTTGTTTCAAAACGTAATCTCATCGAGAAATTCATTGCACCATGAGGATGGAAAAAGGTAAACAAACACTTGACATTACCATTTGTTGTTGTAAAGATGATTATTATTGGTGAACATACACAGGGCTGAAAATAATAGCAACAATAATCTGTTATAAATCGCAGACTCGCAAAGGAATTAAAGTGAACCATTATGAGGAATCTCAAGTGGATTGGTTGGATTAAAAGATGTTTATATTGATTCACATGTTTCTCTATTGGGTCCAATCGTTTTTCATTGAAAAACCAATATTTTCCAAATCAAGTGATTCACAATCAGATTCAACCTCTGATCATTCACCATCCTTACAGGCAAAATTGGAATCAAAAGTTTACCGTAAATCTAAATCTGCTAAATTGCCTTTTAATATGAAAAATTTTGATGCCGATTCGGATCATGAATCGACCAACTCATCAAATGGTAAAACATTAACCTCATCAACCAGCCAACAACCTGGAGTGTCAACAGTGATAACAACCACACGACCAATAGGTTCACCAACAGTCACATCCAATGCACGTTCATCTTCATCTTCAAGTGTCAACTCGGGTCCAAACGAGTCAGTCCACAGCAACAGTACCAACAGTATAAACAGCAATTCATCAAGCAACTCACCGACAACCGGTTTAACAGGAGCCATTGGTATGACCCAATCAAGTGCAAGTTCATTTGCCTGTAAACAGCGTCGTCAGCGTTTAACCACAACACGATCTCAATCAGCTTCAATTGCAATGACAACCTCACATCCAATTCATCATCATCACGTTCATCGATCATCTTATCCCTCAGAGTTGAGACCTATCGGTGGTATCAGGTTAGCCTCAAGGTTTACGAGGAATCGATCCTCGTCAAGGTAACACCCAAAGATAAATTAAGCAAAAAATAGTAATCAATTGTCATCTTTTTTCTCTCTCTCTTTTCTTTCCATTCACAATTCGTCTCCAATTTTTACCTTTCATTTTCCTGTCGACTCATTTTCTTTCTTCTGTCAACATCAATCTCCTCTCCTCATCTTCATCAATATCATCATTTATTTTTTTTACCTGGTTTTTATTTTTCCTTTTTTTCCATTTTCTTTTTTTTCTGCCTTTTTCCCATTTCTATCCATTCTTTTCCTCTTCCTATTTCTCTACAATGAACATCAACAATGGTTCCTTACCATTCTCATGTCTGTGTAATATCACAACAAATTATCATTCACTCACCAACAATCAATCATCTTGAACCCGGTAGGTTATGGTTAATTGATTTTAACTACAATTAACCATTTTCACTCTTCACTTTCACTTTAAGCTTTTTTTGCTCTTTTTTAATCTTCCATTTACTGAAAAACATTTAGTAACTCTATGATGATGGCAAATGTTTATGATGTTTATAACGATGATTATGATGATTATGATGATTAACCTGATCATCAATTTTGTTCATGTTCAACTGATTACAGTCAAATCTCTTGAGCTTTGACTTTGACTTGACTTGAAACAATATCTTTGACCTGGACTGGGTTAAACCAATTATGTTTGATATGCAATTTCCAAGTGTCCAAATTGAAATGTAAAGTTGACCAAATTGACACGATTCATGCAGACAACTTTCACCTCCTTTTTGTCCATTTACTGGCCATTGATTATTAAATGATGATCAAGTTGAAACGATTGAACCTCAAAATGCAATCAAAAGCAATTTCACATCATTTATTCCCATTTGTTTCTTTTGTCAACTTGTTTACACAGCAAAATCAACCTTTCAAGCTGTTTCATCAATAATAATGTAAACCAGGTTCAAGACGAACAAGATTAACTCATTTTTACCTTTAAACGATTTAAAATGAAAAGTTGATCAAAAAGGTTAATCCTATTGATTTGTATTGACATTAAAGGTTTAACATCAACTTACCATTTAACATTTTGATAATTTCAACAGATTAGGGTTAAAGCTTTAAGCTTTAGTTTTTGTATTTTGACAGACACTTTTAGATGCACTTTTCACACCTTTTGATAAATTTTTGTTCATCAACACTTCAATTAATCAAGATTAATGTTAACAATAAATTGGTTTGCTTTGTTCGATTAAACCATTTATCAATAAATCAAGTTTCAGGTTTAATCGAAACATTTCGAAACATTTCAACTCTAATCAATTGGAAAATTGAATCATCATTTTGCTTCATTACATTTAATACTTGCAATCAGAAGCAATAATAAGTTTCATATGTTACTTAATATGTTAAAATATACACATTTTAAGCATTCAATTGAACCATTTGGGTTCTTGGGTTATTATTACAGTTGGTGTTTGCTCAGGTAATGAAAACCTTGAGTTACACTTTTATCAACATTTGTACAATTAATATTGTCTTTTTTATGTATTCAATGAAACAATAAAATCAATTAATTTTACCAAGTTAATGACAACATTAATTGATTTTAATGCTTTACAATAGTTGAAGGTAATCAAGAGTTGATTAGTTTGTCAGTGTATTGATGAAGAGTATAACAAACAAGACTACATTAAACTAGCTCAATACCTTGTTTAAATTAATCAACAGCAGCGTAATTGTTTTCCATGTTTTCCAAGTTTTCCATGTTTTCTTTCCTTTTTGATGAGCTTTTTTTACCAAATAACCAACAGTTATCAAAGTTATTACAACTATTATGTTAAATTGTTTTTGTGTGTTTGCCTTTCATTTGTTTAATGCACCAACACTCCGAGAAATGATATGTACATTGATTAAGATAAATGAAAAGGAATGAAGGCAAACACTGGTAAAAAAACAAGTCACAATTAATGTTGTTCATTTAACAATAAATGGTTAAAACTGGAGAGACTGTTGTAATTGTAAATTTTTGATCCAAACCAATAATGTAAATTGTAAATTAATGTTTAAAGTACATTAATTGACCCAGAAAAGCAAGTGAAGAGAGTTGGTAGTTGAAGAGTGAGATTAATAATGAAAAAGTTGATGATGAATCCTTTTGCTTTTAACCAGAAGCTTGTTCAAGAGTTGTACCAGTTTTGTTTACTTGGATAGTTGATTGATTGTTGAAAATAAACATTCTTCAGGTTAGAATGGTTATTAACAACTCTTGTATTACATCTTATAAAACATCAAGAGCAGGTTATTAGGCAAGTTTAAACTACATTTGCTTTCCATTGCAACTTTTTACTCTTGGTTTTGTTTTCGTTGCGCCATTTCTTTCGAGCCATTTCATCGCGATAATGATAATTATTATTCTCAATGGTAAATTGCATGCCAAATTCAGGATAACAACCATTTTTTCCCTTGTTTTCTTCTTCTTGGCCATCTTCTCATCTTTTACCAGCTCTTCTTTAATTAACTCTTCTGAAAGTCTATCATAACAACTGGGAAAAGAGTCAAAAATCGGAGTTGCTTTGCGGAAAATATAATCTTTAAAACTTGAAAAATGAATTGCATTGATTCCTAATCTTGCTCATTCAACTTGTTTAATCTCTTTTGTTTTCCTTTTCACCTTTTCCATTCAATCTTTCCATGTTACTCTCAATGTCTTTAAAGTTGCCATCTTTCCTCTTCTTGGATTGCTTGTGTTTCTTTATTGTCATCTCTTGTCTAATAAACCTGTGGTATCATCTTGATGGTCATTTATCTCATTCTTTGATTTCTTCTTCTTCTTTCATCTTATTTCCAGCTTTATCATTTTCCACTTTTCTTGATACTTTTCTAGTTTTCCTTCTGACCATCATCATCATCATTACAAGACCATTAATCAAGGTAAAAATCGATGTGACAGTTTTACTGTTAGAGAAGAGAGAGGGAAAGAAAATGAAATTAATAATGATGATATAAAAAAGATGAAGAAAGTTACATTTTATATGATAAAGATGATGCATGTAGTACAACATTGGTTTCATTGTCTTCAATATCACTTCATCTTAAAATATTTTTCCCTGCTTATCTTTACTTTTGTAGCAATCCTTTGCTTGTTATTTTAGCATCAATCAAAAGGTGAAAAAGCATCCTTCAATTCATCTTGTTGCCTCTTTGCCATCTCCTCCAACTCTTCATTACACTTTTGCTTTCCTTTTGTGAAGAAGCAGGAAAAAAACAGAAACAGTGAAAAAAAAGTTGAGCTTGTATATAAACTATGATTATTATGTTGAATCAATTTTGTATATTGAATAACAGGAAGAGACACTGTAAGGTGAACCTGATTAGATGATAATTTTCAATTTAGAGATGAGTAAAAAAAGAATCGGATGGAACCTGGGAAAAAAAGAAGAAAACGAATCAGTATAACAATTTTAGTCAACATTTACATAAAAACGAAACGATTTGAATGTGTAATGTTAAAGTCAATGATATTTACCATTCAATGAAAACTCTATTCATGTTAAACTATCAAGTGATAGAAACATGAAAATTGAATTGTATCAAAATCAGTCCATCATCCATTTAAACATTTATCATTATCTACTGCGTAAAACATGAGAGGAAAGAAAAAGAGAAAAAATTTAGAAAGATTTGCATGGAAACAATTAATTATGAAGTGAAGTTGCTATTGAACAGGCAATACTTTATAAATATTGATATTACTGGTTTGATGTTTCAACTGCAATTGAAGATGAATCTTCAAATAATAAGGATTCATACCTATTTCATTATCAAGGCAAAGTTATTTGGTGAATAAGCAACTGGTTGTTGATTTTTGCTCCTTTCATTTTTGCTCTGGATTCGTTTCCAATTTTTTTAGAAAAAAAACTCATTTTTCAACAATCTCTTTGTTCAACCAGCTTGAGCCTTTCCAGTGTTACAAATTGCTTTGGATGTGAAATTTGTTGGCTGACAGAATGTCTATTGACTCAGCAAGAATGTTGACAATTTTTTTTTAATTTTCATGGGCAGCAAATGTCACCATTTCCAGAAATCTTGTGTTGCCATCAATATAAAACCATTATTTGCCTAATCTAATCAATTTATATTTCCATTCAACAAATTAGCATGCTGATTCGTTTTTGTTGACAACTGGTTTAGTTACATGAAACAGGGGAAAAAGTATCAACTTGTTGACTTTTAGCTGTTTACGTTTACTCAACGTTTAAACAATTGATTGAATGATCTTTTTCGCTGGTAAAATTTTGTTCTACTCCAGGAAACTTGACTTTTTGCTTTACTACTTTCCAACAAATTCCTATTTATCTGCTACTCCAGAGTTGAAAGTAATTATATTTCATCATTGTGTGTGTTCATCTTGTCTTTCATTTATGGATGGATATTATCTTATAAATGGTTGTAAGTTAACTTCGCTTGATTGCAAACAATTGAGCAGAATTGAATGGTAACATCATGATTAACATGAGCAACAGCAGAAATAAACACAAAAAAACTCCAACAAAACAGAGGACAACAGAGAGGTAAAGAATGAACCAAGTGATGTAGTAAATTGATGCTGATGATGTTGATAGGTTTCAGTGAAACAGATTTGATTTGTCAAGTAAATTAGAGCTGCAATGTGAAACCTGTGAACGAACGAAGAAGAAAAGAGAGAAAAAAACAAAATCAATTGGATAGTGATGTTTCGTTTTTTGGATAAAATAATACAATTGAAAATCGTATTAAAGTCAGGGTTCATCTAATATCAACAGAGGCTTATACAAAAACCATTATAGATTGGATCAATTGTAAGTTAAATGGAAGATGAAACTTACTTTGGAAAAATAAGAGAGAAAAGAAGAGAAGATAAAATTGGGAGAAGAGAAAGGCTGAATAAAGTAAGATGAGGAATAGTCATTGAAAAAGTAATTTCAATGTTAGGTTAGATAATAAAGGTTTTTACAGGTAACCTGAATAAGATGATAATAAATGATCATAAGAATCTCCCTCTTTGCTCTTTTTTCATCTTCTCTCTCTCTCTCTTTACCCTCTACTTTTACCCAGGCAAAAAGTTAATGAGGATGGACAAGAAGTGATTATTAACGTAATGGAAGATGAAGAATGAAAGGGTAAAACTTGAATGGTAATTCGGTGAGCCAAGCAAAGGAAACGGAAATGTACAGACAATCAAAATGAATCCACAAGCCAAAAATAGCAATTATAAAGCAAGTAAATGATTATGAACATGTGAAGATGATGAAGAGTCCAATTTTACCTGGAAAAAGAGAGAGAAACAGAAAAATTAGACATTTTCTAATTGCAACAAAAAGTGATAAATAATCATTTTCAAATTAAACGGTAAAACTAAATTTACAAATAATATACTTATTCAATATCAATGATTAACTCGTCAAGAGTAGGAACAATTGGATTCACTTAAACCAACAATTGCATTGATAAATAAGTAAAATTAGCATAATTGTTGAATGAATAATCTATTAAATGAGAGTCAGCAAGAAGAATAGGTAAGATTAGAGACTAGCAAGAGTATGAATCAGATTGGAACTATTAATAGTGATGAGCTCATTTGAATTTTTGCTTTTCTTCCTCTTCTTTGTTTCTTTTTCAACTCTAGACGATAAATTATTCTGATAAGTTGAAGATGAAGCTGGAAAGAGACAGAAAAAAAGAAGAAAAGTTGCAAAAATTAATTGTAAATTAAGATTAGAGCAAGTTAATTGGGGCTTAATGAAAAAAAGCAAGAGACGATTGAAATTCAATCGGCAATCTTGCAATAATTCAAATAATCCAATTGACTGTTGTAGGAAATATTTCAACCTGGCAAAGACAAAAATCAATACAAGATTACCAATTTGTTTAATCCAATAGTTGAATCCAATGAGGCCAATAAGTCAGTGTTAAGTGAAACTGTCAGTAGCCATTTGTATCAATACGAAACAAATAATTTAAACGTATAGATGATGGTTAAAGGTGTCTCACCATGATTGGAGGGAAAAAAAGGTGAACCAAGAATTGGAAAAGCTGTAAATAGAAAAATAGGAAGAAAAAGAAAAAAGATCAGAAAAGTAGAGAAAAAAGAAGATGATAAGCATGGTGTAATTGTAATTAGTGTTTAATGGAATAAATTACTCAACTTTATACTCACCTAAATAAGAACTGAGGCAAAAAGGATAACTTTAACTGAGATTAAGTAGAGTCCTTCTTTGTATAGTTCAACATGATAGAGGAAATAACATTGGTCGATGAATGATTTTGATCTTGTTTCACCTTATTTTTGTTGAGCTTCTTCTTTTTCCTCCTTTCCATTTGAGTGTATTTTTTAGCTTGGAATCATCTTCAAACTTTATCTTGCATCAAATCCAACAAAAGAGTAAAAAAAATCCTTGAATATTGTGTCAATTCATTTCTGTTAGATGCTTGGTTGAGCTTGAAGAAAGTTTCAACTTGTCAAATATTGAGAGAGAGAGAGTTTATTATTTTGTTTAAGCTTCGATCCAATCTTGTATTGTAGATAAAAGATGGAATGGAATCAGGCAACGTGAAAAGAAAGGTAAGCAGGAATGTTGAAAATAATGGTACAGTTATAACAAGGTCAATGTAATAACCTGGAGAAAAAAGAGAACAGAGAAAATAAAAGTTAAATTCAATATATTTAAATGTAAACAGAAATAAGGATTCAGCAATATGCTTCAATGATGAAATGACCCTTTAACCACAATAAAGATGCTTTCTTTTTTCCAGCAAACAAGCTTGAAAAGAGGAAAAAAAAGTATTGATCAACTAAGGAAAAATACGACAAAACTGAAGAAAAATCTGTAAACAAACCTCAGAATTTAAACGATGTAACAGTCAATTTTCGATATAAATTGTATTGAGCCTAATCCATGCATTCCTTTTTCTTTCTTGAATTTTCATCTTCCTTTTTATTGATGCTGTTGAGTTTTCACTATTTGTCTTTTTTTCACTGAAAAAGTCTCGATGTTCTCCTGCTTTTTTGTGCTTGAAAGATTTCTCGGTAAAAATAAACTATTGCTGTGAAAAGTTGCTCAGACAAGATAAGATTTTCTTCATTCTTTATGAAAATTTGCCGCCAAATTTTACATCCTTGCCTCATTTCCATCCATTGGTATAGTTATTTCACTCTCAAGGAAATGGCTAATGGTATACAATTTCCTGGAGATGACGAAAATGAGAAGATTAGAAAATAAAAAAACATAAATATAAACATTTTGAAAATTCATTTCAAGATAATAATAACTCTAAATCAAATATCTGTAGGGTTATGTTGTCTCTCATCAGTTATTTCAACTTGAACCAGATTAGAGCTTTGTTTTACGAATATCTAGATTATGGTAAAGATGCTTTTAAGAAAGCAAGTTGAATAAAATGGAAACTCAATTACAATTGATGAAATTAAATTAAATTGAAAAGTTGAACATTGAGTTTGACCATTGATTTCAACTTGAGCTTTCCTTATGTTTTCTGTTCCAAGTTGCTACTGGAAGAGTGGAATGATATTTGGTTTGTTTAAATTGAAAGCAAAAAACCAATCAAATCAGATGTATCTGATTTCATTTGAGTTTTATAATTGGTTTCAAATTTCATTTTCAAAATGTTGAAACAAGAAGAAGTTGGATGTTTTGAAGCCTTGAAGAAACTCTTGTGTACCTTTGAATTTCACATGATACCAATTGATTCTGTAAGAGAGAGAGAAAAATTATCAAAGTTAGTGAGGCAAAACAAAGTAATCAAGATATGATGGATAAATCAAGGATGAATGGAGTGAAAATTACAATATGATGATTTGTTCATTTCACCAGCAACCATTTGTAAGGAGAAAAGCAAAATGTAAAAAGACTGAGGATAAAGGCTATGCGTGATTCTTGAAATTCATGCTTATTTACCTTATTGCTACCTATTATAAAACAAATTAAATATTAATTACTTGGAAAGCAAATTTTGATGATTATGTTGTTTTTTTTCTGCATCTTTTGAATCACCCGTTTTGCTGCCTTTCTCCCTCCAAATTTGCATCAATAATTCAACTTGAATCAATCAAAATGACATTACCAATCTCATGCTGTTTTTCAATCATGGAATTAAAATTTTCTCCTTGAATCGATGTTCTTTCTTTGCCACTTTTACGCATAATCAATGTAAATGTTTGCCAGGGAATGAAAATTTCTCCTTTTCTCTTAATTTGCTGATGGACCAAAGATTAATTGTGAAAAGAAAAACTGGAAAAAGAAAATGATAGGAAAATCAATAAAAAAATTGAAAAGGCAAACGTAGTTGATATTGAATTGACACTGAAGATACTTACAGTTGGTTGCATGGTTAATTTTAATCATGAAAAATAAAACAGATAGATGAATCAATCAATAGATTTGAGCTGATTTGAAGGTTGCCTCAATAAACAGCAAAAGAGTCATTACAATGAGATCTTAGGAATGTAAAGTAACGTCAAGTAACCATTGGTATTATTGCTGAATCCATGAGACTGTCTTCTCCTTCAGATTAAACAACCCAATTATTGGTAGATAATCGTATCAGTAAACATGAATGAAGATAGTTGAAATATTGTATGAATTAGTATAGATTGATTCGGAAGGTTGGACAGCTCTGAAAGAGATATTAAGTAATTCAGTTTAGTCTTTGTTCCACCAATACCTTCTGTATCTTTTTCATGATAGTCATTTTCAATTATGATCATGTTAATATTGCCATCTCTCATTGAAACCAGTCTTTGATGTACCATATTGAGTCAAAAGAGGAGAGAAAACAAGTGAAACAAAGGCCAAACGGATGGGTAGAGGCTGCGATAATCTTTACCAATCAAGATTAAATTGATACAAGTTGATTTGCTTTTATCAGTTTCCATTGTCTTACAGGATAGAATAGAAGTTGCAACAAATATGTGGAATGACTATGGATAAAATAAAAAAAAACAGAGTAAAAGAGAGGTAAACACGATGGAATGAGTACAAAGAACTATCCAAGTTAGGAATAAACATGAGATATAAAGGGATCACAAAACAGCAATCATCAAATTACATTATACACATTGCATTATTGATGAACCAGAAAGAAAAAAAAGAGAAAATCTTTTTCTCTCTTCTGGTTATCTCAATATCTATCAACATATGATCTGGTGTTTAATCAGTAGCAAAGAGCAAAAGAATGTCTGAAAATGTAGAGAAAGCTATTGTCAAACCTCTAACAAACCTCTAATAATGTACATAATTGTCTAGTTAAACATCAAAAATACCAAATTGAATCATTTTTTTGTATACAAAATTCGTAAACAAAAAGGCTATTTCACCTAAATATTAGAGAAAAATAGCCAAAACGCTAATCCCACGAAGTGACATTGCTAGAGGTTTGACCAAAGATCAAGATAACCCTACTCTTTGAGTTTGACAGCAATTGTTATTGACCTTTAACTAATTATCGTTGTTCTCTTTGTTCTTTATCTATCTTCACTTGTAATCCAAACGATCAATGATACCATTCCTGTTGATGATTATTTAACCGTTTGGTTGATTGCTGATAACATCCTAACTGGAAAAAATAAAAAATTACTTGCCGTTGTATTGTTGGTCAAATAGCTTTGACGTTGATGATTCCGGTTCACCCAATAAACATCTTGATGCAACCAGTCCAAGCACAGGCCTTGTCCTCCAAAACATGCCTTCTCGTCGTGAATCATTTCTTTATCGATCCGATTCAGAATTTGAGATGTCACCAAAATCAGTGTCTCGTCATTCTTCAATCGGAAGCGGTGAATCGTAAGTAACTTATTATTTAAAATTAACATTGAAAACAACTTAACAAAAGATCTACTCTACCAAGTCATCTGATCCTTTTGTTTACGTTTGTCAACAACATCTTCTGCTTTTCAATTTCCCTCCCTTTTTTATTTCATTGTTAACGGTTTTTTTCCTTGCTTACTTTATTTACAAAGCATTCTTTAATTTCAATTAATGATTTTAATTAACATTTTTTCATGTGATTTTCTCGTGTTTTGTTCATCTATAGACATGGCGAAGAAGTGATTGTTACACCATTTGCCCAAATACTGGCAAGCCTTCGAAATGTGCGAAATAATTACATCTACCTTACCAATGTTCCGATTTCTGCTTCTAGGTAAGTTAAACAAGTGTTCATGTTTGGTGAATAAATTTTACTGATTTATTTCACAATTTCTGTATTCTCAGTTGTATAGTAAAGATATAATAAGATTTGCATCGTTATTTCATGTGATAAATTTGTGTTGCAAAATCCCAAGTATTTTTACTGGATCAAACAAGATTAGCCTAGTTTATTAATAGAAGATTGAGTTTTTAAGCGATAAAATAATATTTGTACTTAAAATTTAAAGGGTTACAAATGAGCTTTATTGTTCAATTTTTAAGTTTGATATTTATTAACTTTTTTATTGTATCTCTTATCTCTTGAAGGCCTCGGGAAAGTCGACGATCCTCAACTAGCAATTCTGCCAATTTCCCGATACAAGGTAAATCAGCATCTGAGGAGGTTAATGCAAACTTAGCACTGAATACTTTAGAAGAATTGGATTGGTGCTTGGATCAATTGGAAACCATTCAAGCTCACAGATCTGTTGGTGATATGGCTACAAATAAATTTAAAAGAATGCTCAATAAAGAATTGAGTCATTTTTCTGAGTCAAAATCTGGAAGTCAAATTTCAGAATATCTTTTACGAACTTATCTGGGTAAGTAATTTGTTGACAAGCAAGAATTGACGAAAAGACTTTTGATTGAAAAGTTTAAACTATAAATTAAACTTAAACGATAGTTTAGTTACACATTATTGAACATTTTTAAGTGTATCTAACGTTTTATTTCTATCTCTTTTTTTATTATTCCACTTCAACTGTCATCATAAATTTAAATTTTAGATAAACAAGAAGATTTTGATTTACCATATTTAAGAGCTGAAGATGGATCAGTTTCACAATTACAAGCTCATGTATTTGCTTCAGTTGCTTCAGGAGCTACTAATTTCCCCAATATCTGTAGAAATATGCCAACTGGTATCTCATCTGGATCACAACCGCAACAGTCTAGTGGTGGTAGAGCCAAACCAGGTCTTTCGATGTCCCAAATAACGGGTGTTCGTAAAAGCACTCTTTCCCATACCAACAGTTTGTCCAAACTTCCTAAATATGGAGTTGAAACAATCCATGAACCTGAGCTTGCTAAACTTTTCAATGATGTAAATAAATGGGGTTTGGATGTATTTAAGGTTGCTGAATACTCCAACTCACATCCTCTTACAGCAACCATGTATACAATTTTTAGGGTAAGAATGATTGTCTCTCAAGTATTTTTTGATACTTTTGTGTGGATTTTGATTTACACAAGTATACATTCCTACTTTGATTGTCTAGTGAATCTGAGAAAAGAGAAGAAAAAAAATAGATGAAGAAATGAACAATATAAAAATCACCCATTTGGAAGTAAAGGATACTCGTCATACCTTAGATTAGATAATCTTCTTAATATTATTTTTATTCTCTATTCTCTATTAATCTTCTTTACTTGGAAACAATTTCTAATTCCTCTTTTCCATTTATTCTTTTGTATTTCATTTTCATCTCGACTACTTATTCACGCTTGGAACAATTTTTGATAACTCAGGAAAGGGATCTCCTCAAAACTTTCAAGATATCCTCCAAGAAATTTGTAACTTGTGCAATGACACTAGAAGAGCACTACCTCAATGTACCGTATCATAACAGTACCCACGCTGCTGATGTCACACAATCTGTCCACGTCCTTCTACTAGCGCCAGCCCTTGAGGTAATCAAATTAAACAGATTGCATTTTATGCAATTTTAACGTTTAAAAATATCTAATTTCAACTTTGCTTCTTTTACAGTCCGTCTTTACTGATTTAGAGATACTCGCAGTACTTTTTTCAGCAGCCATTCACGACATCGACCATCCCGGTGTTACCAATCAATATCTAATCAATACCAGTTCAGAATTGGCTTTAATGTATAATGATGAATCCATATTAGAAAATCATTCGCTCGCAGTTGCCTTTAAGATTCTTCAAGATGAATTATCTGATATATTTGACAAGTTAACTAAAAAACAGCGTCAAACTTTACGTAAAATGACTATTGATATGGTTCTTGCAACAGACATGTCCAAACATTTAAGTCTTTTAGCTGACCTAAAGACAATGGTTGAAACTAAGAAAGTTGCTGGGTCCGGATTTCTGCTTTTAGATAATTACACAGAGCGAATACAAGTTTTACAGAATATCATTCATTGTGCCGATTTAAGTAATCCAACAAAACCTCTTCATTTATATCGTCGTTGGGTTAATATGATCTTTGAAGAGTCTTTCATACAAGGTGATAAAGAAAGAGCTCAAGGTCTTGATATCAGCCCGATGTGTGATCGACATAATACTGTTATTGAAAAGTATCAGGTAAGGTTTTCCTTCTCCTTTTAATTTCAATTACATTCTGTGTAATCCTGTAAATATAACCATCGCATCTTTTTTCATCAACAGGTTAGCTTCATCGATTATATTGTCCATCCATTGTACGAAACATGGGCTGACTTAGTTAACCCAGATGCACAGGAAATCTTGGATGCATTAGAAGAGAACCGAGATTGGTTCCAGAGTCAAATCCCAGCAAGTAGGTTCACTTCAATCATGTGACTCAGAGAAACTTGAATTTAAACTAATTTGATCTCTTCATTTCTCGTCAACAGGTCCTCCATCAGATGACAAATCTGAAAATAAATCGCAAACCAATCAACAATCACAACAGGCACAAGAGAAGCAAGAGAAACAACAGCCTGGTAGTGAGGAAGAAGAAGATAATCGACATTTGGCCGTACAAGCTGAAAAAATAAAGTTTCAGATAACATTGGAGGAACCAGAAGAAGATGATGATGAAATCACAGTTTCAGATGCTAATCACAATCAAACGAAACCAATGATGGCTGATATAGCAGAAGATAACAGTCTAGGGGAATCTGTTGAGAATTAATCACCACCAATGAGATTGGAAATGGATTCCATGTGTATAATTGTTGAAATACAAAAATCAGTCCATTCTCAGTATATACTTTGTTGAGGCTTTCAACAGAAATGTCAAGCCTGATTTGTGATTATGGAAAGTCATGGCAAATTATTTTACTTGAAAAAGGATTGGATTGTATTTTACACAATTTTTTGCAAATTTTGGCCAAATACCGACCATATTCTGGTAAATTTAACCAGAATATTGAACCAATGACAAGTTGGATTCGAATCAAAGCATAGCAAAGATATTTATGTGTTCTCTTGGATACTCTACAAAACAAACTTCATCTACCAATCAACATTCATCTTTTTAAAGAAGCGCCAATTTTAAGTAAACCTTGAAATAGATGTTAACTTTTAAAGATCAATTCATTTGAGAGGAGAAAAGGTTAAAGATTTATAATTTAAATTCTTCAACTTTGACTCTTGTCGATTAAACTCGTAATTTTGATGTTTAAAAAAATATCTTCATCTTAAAACTATCATCATAATCATCAACCACACTATAATGTAATAATCACCACTCATCGAATGAAGTAAAGCAAGGAAAAAAACAAAACCATTAATCCTGGAATGGAGACAATATAAGTTGGAGGAAAATGAAGTAAAGATGGAATTTTAAAGCCTAAGATAAATTGTGAAACACAGCTCTTGGCCAATTTACGACTTTTCATACCAATTGTAATCTAGTCTATCCAACGTTAAAAAACCAACTCTACCACAACCACTTGTGAAACTGATTTTAAATTGTAATACCGACGGTAATTTTGAAACCGTAAAAACCAGTGCCAACAGTTATACTGCCCTTTCTCCTAGTATCCAATTGTATTATCAGCACTCTTGTTTCCTTCTCTCTTTTAAATCTGAAAAGTTACCTTTTTTCTGGTCATTTTTCTATGTCCGATTCACTTTTATCACCATTGTTTACCATGTTTTACCCGTTCGCCGTTCACTCTTTGTTTTCCTCTTCCATTTTAATTACAACTGTTACTAAACCTGTTAACATCTTTAACTGATTCCTTCTTCGATAAACTCCCATCAAACTTGCTTATCATTGTTAATCTTTTTGGGCTTCTAATAGCTAAAGCAAGTTTATAATATAATTCAATCTGGAATCCACTTAACACCATTTTACTGATAGCGTAAATTTTCATCCATTAAAATCAGCATCCGAATCAAATGTTATATGTTACCTGGGAAAAAAAGAAAAATGAAGAGACGAGAATTTATCTACGGAAAAAGCGTGCCAAATTTGCTATTCGAAACTCGGAGTTATCACTGTTACCATAATTATGTTTGACAACTCATTGGAATCGATGAAACGAGTCAATGAATCGGAATAAATTTTATACTAAACAAGAATGAAATGATAACGATTTGATTTGTTGTTTCACTTTTTGACTACAAAGGCGACTTTTGATTGCTTAAATGTTCGTTAAGCATAAATCATGTAAAACAGATGTATATATAAATACAAAAAACAATTATATGCATTTCACGTGTTGTCCTGTTTCTAAATGCTGAAAGGCCTAAAAAGGCCAATTCTGATCTTTACGTATCAAAAATAGTGAAAAAGGTATCAAATAATGTCTAGCAAAGTAAGAGTATGCCATATTGTCAAAGTATTTAAAGAGAATAATAGATTGATCGCCTGAAAATTCAGTGATAATGAGCTATGCTATTTTTTTGTTTGTTTTTGCTAACTATTTTGTCAAATATTCCGTAAAATATTAGAAATTTTTTTCAATGTTATTCTGTTCTAACCGTGACTAAATCTCTTGGATTAAGAGACTTTTAATGATCGTTTTAATGCATTGCTAGGAACCCGACTCCAAGAAAATGGATCATCTGAGCTTAGGGTCTATTGAGTGCATCACCGATCTAAAATAAGCGCGACTAACAATAAGGCAATGAGCATGTGTGTACAATCTGGAAAATCAGTTTATTGCTTGCCTAAAGCTAGACACCGAAGTTAGTCGATGTAGTCAGTCAGTCAGTCGATGAAATTTCGACTAAGTCGAAGTCGATACGGTCATCGACTATCGACTAAGTCGACTCAATATCATGTGATCAAAAAACAACTCATTTTGTCACTGGCAAGGATGTGATAGGCTGACAAAATGAGTGAGCAAAATCATAAATTAATTGAATTTTTGAATTTTTTCAAAAGAAAGACTGAAAAGAGTGAAAGTCAGTCGACTTAGTCGACTAATAGTCAGTCAGTCGTTCAATAATCAAAGTCGACTAAGTCGACTTTTAGTCAGTCAGTCGCCATAAATTCATTAGTCAGTCAGTCGATGCAAGTATCGACTGACTTCGGTGTCTACCTAAAGCTAAAAAACAAATACGCAATGAAATTCATTGAATGAATGTTTATAGCCACGAAAACAATAAAAGCACGCTGCGATATAAATGAAGCGGTTTCTTGTATTTTGATTTTTAAACTTTATTTCATATCTTGCGGCCGCGGCTGCTGCTGCGGCTGCGGCTGCTGCTGCTGCTGCTGCCGAACCCCCTCTACCATACTCACCCTGGGCAGACACACCTTGGCTCTGGCTATCAGTGATAGCGGTGGCGAGAATTAGTAAGCTTAAAGTCATTACAATAAACATTAGACAATGGTAATTTTCATGGCATCTGATTAAACACATTCGGAAAAGGAAATGCTTATGATTTCTTTGTTCAATCTACTGTATTCGTTCTGAAAAGCACGCCTGCAAAGCATATTGTTGTTACAAGTTAGAAGTTTGTTGAAACATGAATAACCATTTACAGAAAACTTTAACATTTAGTTCTTATAAGTCAAAATTAGTTAGCAACTAATTAACGTAGATATTAGATACAATGATCTTTAAATGTCATAGAGATATTTGAACAATTGTGTCTTCATCAAAGTTATTCAAAGATTCTTTTTGTCTGATTTCATATCTACATTATTTGCAATATTGTTGTCTTGTGTTGTTTTTCGTTCGAAATTTAACAAGAATTAGCATGCAAGATTAATTAAAAAATATCTTGTAAGTTTTACGCTATCACTAGGAATCTATTCAGCCTTTTTAATCTCTAGTCATTGAATCCAAATTTTTCTGACAAAGTGTTACTCGCCATTTCAATTGTTGAAGTCATGAGGGTTGTTTATCAAGATATTTTGATTGAAATGTTTGTTAAGTGATTCATGAAAAGTTGTTGATTTATCTGGCAAGTTTATTCAGCAAAGAATAATGAATTCAATGTAAATATACTGATCTTTTTTATCCTATTGCGTGTTTACAGTCATGACTCAGGAACGATTGATGCTGCAGACTTCAGATTACGGACCATGAGCTTCCGCAAATGGATAAGAGCTAATTCTCAAGCGCATCCAAGGTCATGAATATTTTTACTTTCTGATTGATTCTTTAAGATGAACTAAAGTGTGTTGCGTTTGAGTGCAATTATCACTTACAGTCTTTTCACACTTATTTTGGCAAAAAAATCAGAGTCATCTATTGGTATCCAAACTCTAGCCCTAGCATAAACAGTGCTAGGATAGTACTTTCGTCTTACTATTGGCAATATACATGTAATAGACGGCGTTGTTTTTTTGTCAAAATAAGTGTGATAAAACTGTACTCAAATTCGGATAATGAAGATAAAAGTGAGGTATCGATGATGATAATGGTAATGTGAGAGATGGTCGATGGTAAAGATGAAGAAACAAAAATTACAATAACATTTTAGAGGAGTTGAACAGAATGAGAACCTCTGGTCTCAATAGATTTATCAATTCTTTTTTCAAAATTTAATATTGAATTGGTCAACATTTCAGGGGTCACACAATTAAACTTTTCAGAAATCGAATTTTTCAATCAAGAAAGGTCGGAAGGGATTTGTTGTCGGACAAGGTTACCAATGTAACCTCACAAAAAAATCAAGAGGGTTAAGTTCAGGCGCATTGGAGCCCCTCAAAGTCACTCCTTCGACTAATTAAATTTTTACCGAAAAATTTTTTAGATGAATTCAAATCATTGGTGCAATGAGGCGTTGCCTCGTCTTGTTGGTACCATGTTTTGGGAGAGAGTTGTTCAAGCCTGGTAAGCTTTGGAATGAAAAAATTTGAATTACACTCCTGATATGTAACGGAATTAACATTTTTTTGAAAAAATATCGACCAATTAATCTAGTTGATGATAATGCTGTCCAAACATAAACCTGTGGTGGATGTTCAACCAATTGATTAACTTTTGGCTCTCTTGGCTTCTTTGTTAGTGTGAAAATTTTCTCATCAGAGAACCATATTTTCCTGTGTTGATTCAATCGCATCATCTGTTTCAAACGAACACAAAAGCTGATTCTTCCGTGAATTTTATTTTCGGGCAATTTTTCTCCCTCTGTTTTGTCTGAAAAAAGGTGTCTCTTTTTGAAAATCCTTAGAACTGGGGTTGGATGATTTTGTACGACCGATGAAACCTTTCTCATTGAGACTTTTGGACTTTCCCTCACCATTGAAAATCAAATAATCAAAAATTATTCATTTAATTTGCTTGATAAAAATCAATACGGCGTACAGGTTATGATCTGGACGGGAAATTTTCTTACCTTAACTGAGGAAATTTGATCAGAGTTAACGTAAATCATAAGGTCAAGCTCACATACTAACGGACCAAGTTCCCCGTTCTGAAATTTGATGTTCCTTAGAATTTTGAGTTGAAAGTTGAGCCATTGTAGTTCAATTAAAATAATTTCATATCAAGTAGATGCGGTGGCGCAAGGGTTCAGTAATTTTTTGAAGTATTCTTGGTGTGAAATTTTTTCGATATTTTTTATTGATTTTGATTGGGGATTGTCCCTAAAATCGATTAAACAGTCAAGAATCAAAATCACCCATAAATTTTCCAATTTCCCATAGAAGCGCCATGTTAAGCTCTAAAAAACTTTTTTCATCGACTCTTTTTAAAAATCGATTTTTGCGCTATCTGTCTGTCCCAAAATTACGGCCATAGCAAAAAATCAAAGACAAAAGGCTGAATTTTCACTTTATAAGATAAATCTGATTAAAAAAGCAGAATTTGACATTTTATTTAATTTTAAAATTGGTGCCATTATTTCTTAACCCTTGGTACATCAGTAAAGTTTTCCTAGACTCTTTGATTTCTTAACTGAGAAAATAATGGTTTACCGAACATGGTTAAGTTTAAATTGCTAGATCTAATCCAGCCTGCAAAGTTATAACATTTTTAGTTGATCTCTTGCATTTTTATATTTTACGTAAGCAAATTATTTGAATCAATTAATATTTTAAGAAATAGAAATAAAACACAATGAAATTCCAATCAGATTGATTTCTTCGGTAATAATGCTGAATAACGCTGAAAATGCGTGCATTATAACGATAGTGACTGTATTTGAAATTTAATTTCTAGTTGTCTGTTCAAAATTGAAACCAAAATTCCAAATGTACATCAATACAGCTTGAACTTAGTTCGGAAATCGATTTGATAACAAAAGGACAATGACAAAAGGTTTCAAAAGGTGAAAATCCTTGTTCGAAAACTGAACCTCGTCGATTCATTTTGATAGCCAAAACTTTCTCACAGCAAAAACCCTAATATTTGATTTTTTAACCTCCATGAAAGATCCATTTGCATGATGAAACGTGATTAAATCACTTTATCCTTTTGTCCATTAAAACTGAAGAGTAAAGTTGAGAGCAATTTTTTCTCGTCTCTCCTCAAATTTATTGCCCATTAACCAATGGAAATAATAATAATGATAATGATTATGATGAGAAACTGGTGATGATTAACATTTTCTGTGTATTTCAACTTTTCATTTACTCGAATAAATTGTCACAGACAAGAAACAATAATGTTATTTAATGTAATAATAAAAGTACAATTTCACATTGGCAAATGAACATTCAATAAAAGCGTTCGATTAATACCCAGGGAAACTCGTAGTTGGACAGTAAATCTTTTAATCGTAAAACTTGAACCATCGTAACTCTAATAAGTACTCAAAGTTTACCAATCAGATATGAACGTAAATAAAAAACAGCAGTTATTAGATTATTTTAGCCATTTCACGATAATAGCGAGAAATATCATTTCCATCATCTTTACCAAATTATTATTTATTGTATTATCAATATTCATTTGAAAATGTGTTCCCTGTTTGCTTGATTATCAAACATTTTTACTTTGCATTCAAGTTTACCTTTGCCTTTGTTGGGTTCACATTAATCTGCACATTTATCGTGAATTAATATACCTTTTTATTTTACTTTTTGGCAATAACAATAACTCTTTGAAATTGGAAAAAGAAATGAGAGCAAAAAAAGTTATTATATTGATAGGATTGTTGATATAATGATTTTATTTAACTGGGA